TCATTACAGACTTGTAGCAGTTCTGCTTAATCGGCATGGATGCCCTTTGTGCATCTAACCTGGCTTAAGGCAGTGCAGCAACAAGGTAATCCTGCTGGAGTAGATGACTGGCCAAATAAGCTACAAGCAGCCCACTAATTCCACCCTTGAAACATTCAATTATTCTTGCAGCTCTTCTGCCAGATTACTGTCATGGTACATCTGAAATACTCTCTTCAAATGAACAAATTGTGAACAGATCCCTTTCCTGTAACTTCTGTTTTGTTGTTCTTATGTAGATTTTTTTTTTAATGCAAAATTACTAACTTGATTAAGGTGGTGTTATTCATGCAGTATTGAAGCTGGATTACTGGAGATCAAGAACAGTAACCCTTTATTCCAAAGAGCTGGATTGACTTGTGATACTCAGTACTCTGTATTTGTTAAACAAGATGGTAATCAAAGATGAAAGTACACTACGAACTACCTCACATAATGAAGGCTGTAGGTAGCACAGTGGATAGTCTGGCAAACTGCCAAATATGAATTAATTGACTGCTAAGCACCTCAGACAATGCAGAGGCTGGGTATCCATTTGCTCAGGTATTCATCTTGGATAAGATTAACAGTGCTGTGGTATGCTGTTTGTTGTTTTACAGCTGTCATGTATGTCTTTATCATCCACAAAATAGCCAGCCAAGACTTACTGGCTTGCAATCACCTCTTTTAACCTCTTGTTACGGATATTAAAGCACAGCCTTATTAAACTGGAAAAGCCTGGATAAGTGGGAAGGATGTAGTCTAGTTTAAATGCTGTCCTAACCATCAGTTTGTATACATGATGTAACCTTTATTAAGCTTCTCCTAGTTGAATAGCTTGGCTACTTGTTTGATCACAGATCTTCGAACACAGCTCTGATAAACCTCTCTAAATGGGAAGCTGCCTTACAGCCTGGAAAAGAGACGGATGAAGCAATTGGCTTGGCAAGCTTGAAACATAGGCCTCTAGTTCTGTGACGTGCAACTTCTCAACTATCACCAGCAATGGTTTTATCTTCCTTTCTGACCAGCCTGAAGGGTGCTTAAGTATTCTAGTGGTGGTAAAACAAATATGCTTGTAGAAATTCTTCAGCAAGTGTTACCATGGCCGAGTAATCTGAAGAAAACTTGTAAGTTGAACGCTTTATTCAAAAAGGCTGCCCCTTGGTAGGACGAAAACCTAGCTAAAGTTGATGTCTCTCTTGGTTGGTTGATTTGTGTGGGTCGTCCCCGTCCCCCCCCCTCCCCTTCCTCCCCCCGTATGTGGAACAATGAAACAGGGTTTTATCTCTTTGTCATCTTCTAATGCAAACAGTAATGAGTTAGAAGTCTAAGATTACCATGCAACATAACTGCTGGAAATTTGCTAACTCAAAAGTTAGAATTAAGCTGAAATAATCCTAAGTGTTGTCATGTGGCTGTCCTTAGTGGCACTTAACGCTTAGTGTACTAGTGCTGCTCTAAAACTACAATTTTGGGCATGTATATGCTGTGATGATTGATAGTGCTGCCTCCACTCTTCCTCAAGTGCTTGCGTTAGCTTAGATGTTGACATTGAGAGAGGATCTTTTGCCTGACTTCAGAATGGATATGGAAGTTAATTCATTGGCTTGAAAACTTTATTTGGGCCATTTTAGCTGAACTTTATTGGTGCAAAGGGTTGCACAATGGGGTTAACTGAAAAAAGCAGTTACTCAGTCTTCCCCTTTAAATTAATGGGGAATAGATAGCAAATCATGCTAGTTTGCCAAGCACTGTCATGGCTTATTCTGGACAAGTCTGCAGCCTATTAAATGAAATGCCTAAGACATTTACGTAGTGGTTTTATTCATGTCAAGATACTTGCTTTATGGATGAAATCCATGTAGTAAGGAGACAATTTAGGGCTTAATCATGAATCCAACTTGCGTTTCTGATATGTGGTATTGTGTTTATATCACCAGGTAGTTGCTACTGTGTTTACATTTTATCAAGGTTTAGATGGGATTATATAGCGCATTCAAAACAGAACAACCTGATGGAATTATTAGGAACAGACTTTTGTTTTATGTTAATGTGCTACAAGTCTTGGACTTCATAGGTGTGTTAATTTTTAGAGAAACTAAAAGTTCAGACCTGAGGTTGCTGTTTTTCATGGATATTCTAGTCAACCTAGTGTTACAGCTTGTGCATTGGGAGGGGAGGGGGTTGATTATTGTTTTGTTGCAGCAGCAGCATTTCAGCCAAAGGGTGCTGACTTCACAAATTCCTCAAGTATTTTAGTGAAGCTTCCCTTGATGCTCGGTTGCTTGCTTATGAAACAAAGAACATTTTTTTGGAAGCAGCTATTGATGTGTGAGTCTAATGGGTAAAAGTGCTGCTAGAAAGGCTTGGAGAGAGGAGAAGGATAGCTTGGGGCTTTTAAAACAAACAAACAAAACTTTAAGGCATTGGCTCCTTCCTGGGTTAAGAAAAACTGGCTGAGATTGATGTGCTTGTTTTGTTTTCCCCTTCCCTACTCCCCATTTTTAATATTAGTGATTATTGCTGCACTTACTGAGGCTAGAGAAACAGTTGCTAATAAATTCAAAGTGTATATTGCAACTCTTGTCTTACAGACAGAGAAAGTTTAAAATGTAAAGCAAGGACCTAGCTTCCAAACTAGCTAATTAACTATCATAGTCAATTTAGTGACGTCCCAGACTGAAGTCGGTGTTCTCTGACCATTTACTTAAGGAAACCCAAAATATTTGGGCTCAATAGTAACTCTTTATCATATGAGTTAAGTGCCCTTTCCTTTGAAAAGAAAAAGGTGTTGGTAGTTTAAACTGAAATTTAGTTTTATTTTCAGCAATTAACTTGTCCCAGTATTACCACAAACCAGAAGATAAGACGTAAGGGAGGTCTTTTTCGGTCTTTAAAAGAAGTTTTCTTATTGAAGATAGCTTATCAGTCTTGGACTTTCCCTTTATTTATGTATCCTTTTGGTATATGTTACTTACTGCAGCCCTCTGTCCATAGAGGGTATGGAAGGGTATGGACCCAGGAGCAAAAAACTTGCCATCGTTAAGCATTCACTGCTGGACTAAAGCAAGTATCTTAGACATAACCCTTGAATATCTCCAGCATATGAACAGGACAAATAATCTAACAGGATTGAGACGAATCTAAAATCTGCAGCGGAAGACGCTTCAAGCTTTAAATTCTCCCTGCTATTCTGAGTAGCACTACTGCTTTGAAATCAACTTATTTTTGGGTTGGCCCTGTCTAATTTGAAGAAAAACCCTAATATGTTGCATGAAATATTGGTAGAAAATTGGTTAAACTTGGTGATCTGAACAGATGCCTCTTAAGAATGGAGGGAACTGTACTGTAGTCTTTAGCCTCGTCAGTCCAGGAATGAATAGGAGTTTCTAGACTGAATTAAAATTAAGGATATACCTCCAACTTTGCCTGAAAACGAAGATGCATGTAGATAGAAACTATGATTTATGATTGAGAATAGGTATTGGGAGTTCTTGAGCTCTGAAAAGGCCTAACTTAAGAACGTTAAGTGGACAAGCAGCCTTTTCTTCAGGATTGGGTGTATTATTCCTTTCTGTTTGTTTTTCGGGGGGGAGGAGGTGTTTTTGTGTGTGTATGTGTGTTTTGTGATGTGGAGTGCCGGCCAAGGGTCCTTGCACCTCAGTATTTTGAGCGGTGTCCCTTTTAAAACAGTGTTGTAAAATGAAAAAATTGATTTTAAGCAAATTGTAGCTATCGCTGCTAAAATGACAAGGCAAACCTATGTAGTTGCTGCTATTCTGTGCCTATTTTCTTTCTGTTTGTGTAGTGTGCTTATCTTGCCACATGTCTGTACTTTTATTTACCATTATTATAGAGCATTGCATAATTATAGGCTATTATTATGTTCTGGTATTATATAGAAAACCAATTGTTTGCTGCATCTTAACCACTTCTGAAAGTGACTTTTGCATAACTTCAAATTTTTTAAGTCTAAATTGAGAACTGAGAAAAGCTGTTTCAAACTGTATTTTTGTCTGAGAGTCCCTTAAAGCTTCAAACTAGCAACGCAGCTAGATGACTGGTTCTACTTCACTCATTTCAAGCAGTTGTATGTGATTCCTGGGTTAGATATTTCATCCTATTTCATGCTCACTGAGATGGAAGGTAACTGACCCAAACTATTTGCAGTTTCTGAAATGCCAGAAACTGAAATGCTGAGGAGTAGTGAGCTTTTCAAGTAAAACTTGCATTGTCCAAGCCAAAGTGAGTTTACCATCATCTCAGTTTAAAATGTAGCTCATTTCTCTGAATAGGGAACTTGAGTTGGCACCAGAAAAACTAATATCAAATTTTGCTTCCAAAGGTAAGTGTGAAATACAAGTTGTGCTGAGAGGATGGTGCTTTCTAATAAAATGTGGATGCGTAGGTTCCTGGTTTATGGATCATATGGGAGGTCCTGTGAACTTTAGTATGTATCCTTTCTGCCTGAGGTTTTTCAGTCTTTTTGAATGTTTATGGGTTTACTGCTTTTCCTGTTTAATGTCTAAGAACTTAGGTGCCTTTTGGTTTAATAGCAAAAAAAGACCATTTGGTAGGGGGGGGGAAAAAAAACTTATGTTCTTAACAAGCTGAGGAATAACTAGTTATTAGTTTAGATGAGCTTACTTATTCTTCTTTTAAAGAAAGGGAATCTTCCTGAGCAATGTAAGAGGACTGTCAACCTAGTAATCAAATCAGAAGTGAAATTCAATATTTTTGTGCCAATTTAAGGAATAGAGAAGACCTGTTACTGGACTTTCACACTTTAAAGGCATCTCAGCTTAACTGTATTGAGGTTTTAATAGCTATCTAAAGTCTGCAGGTAAAACTTATTAGAACAGGGAAGTCCTATTAATGTCTCAGTTGCATCTTAAAGCAATGCTTATGTTACCTGTGTGATGTTTGCATTCATCTAGTCCTAATACTACTTTGGGAAGGGAGAGTAATAATTACTCCCAATGCTTGTGTGTTCGTCCAGTGTGGTTGGGTGGAAAGAAGCTTGGGCCAGTAGAGAGCTATATGAAACACCATATCCTGATATATATGTTCTTTTGATTTCAGGCAAAAGCAAAGAAGCAGAGATAAAGAGAATAAACAAAGAATTAGCAAACATTCGCTCAAAATTTAAAGGTAAGTGACTTGACCATTGTAAAAACTGTAATGCTCATTTTCCTTCTGTGAAACTTTCTCCTGTTCTGTGGGGGGATTTGTCTTGTTCTTACATGTATGGTGTTTTTTTTTGTTTTTTTTTTGTTTTTTTTTTGGCCAACTGCTACGGCAAGCAACAAGCTAGAGCAGACTGTTAGAATAACTATTGAAAATAGACTATTAGATACAGAACTTCTCAGCAGCCCCGTGAAGCTTGGTCATAATGGAAGAAAATGCCCTTCTTTATCAAAGAACTGAGCTACTGTTCACAAACTCTGTTTTCTAATGCTTTGCCACCCAACCTTGTGACTACTTGGCCTATTTTCCTGCAGAAGGCAGCTAGTAGAACTAAGGTGAAGACACAGCTGATGAGCTCCTGAGGCTGTAGGTCTTGACCATTCCAATAAGCAACAACAATACAAATTATTAATATAAAACAAAGAATATGCAGTGACTCTAGCTCCATCCTAGTGTGTTGAGGTAGCAGTTAGGCAACACAATACTCATACAGTAACTATATTCAAGTGGTTTACTTGTTTGTGTGGCTTTGTGGGGTTTTTTGTTAAGGTTCTGAGGAGTAGCTGAGATGTTTTTGAACAGAGTTCCACCAGTAATGCCGGTAGTAAAACAAACTTTCTGTTTAAATAGATACAGGACTGTGCGTAGCTAGATAAGGTGGTGTAGTGTGGAGGTGACATATGGGACTTAAAATTTACCATCTTCAGAGTAAACTTGTTTACCTTAATTTTCTATCCTGGCTCTTAGCCTGGTGTTTCTCATAGGAATATTTATTGCTTTGACAAAGTCTGAAATAACTTTCCTGAACTTCATAGTGCTCTGTTGATAGTATTTTTCTGTGTGGTATATCTCTTGAGGGCATGCTGCAATGTGAAATTGGTTGAAAGATGAAATAACATAAAACTTTTTGTATATGTTTGAGAAGTGAATGAAAAAACTTCTTTAAACTGTTTTAAACTAAACTTGGACCCTTTACCTGGAAGGCATATGCACTCCATCTAATATAGATCTTACTTGAAGACTAAACTACTTCACTTCCAAGTAAATGTTTAAGTGTAAAGTCATAGCTTTCTAAATGAAGAAGGTAACTTTGAACATACAGCCAGAATTAACAAAATGACTTTTACTCTTGTATTCAGGTTTCCAATAGACCCTTGAACTATGTGCTGGTCATTCAGTGTGTGTGTGTGTACTTTGTACATGAAGGTAATAGATATTTGGCCATTGCAACTGAACAATGGACATAAGTTTTAGACTAGGATTGGGTGAGGCAATAAGCTCTAGAATAGACTGTGCAAAGCATGCCAGTTCTGCCAAACTTGGACCAACACCAGTGTCTGGTGGAACCTTTGCAATGAAGAGGGAGTAAAAAAAACAATCTGACAGCATAGGGAGATGCCTAAATGAAAGTGGTGTTTTTGTTCCGCTCTTTTTTCCCCTAGAAAAATGGCCATGCAAAAAAACTTTCTCAGTTATCTTATGGCTCAGGTTACCCCTCTGGATCAAGTACCCTGAATTCTGTAAAATAAAAATGCTAGAAGCATTCACATGCCTCTGTGCTAATTTTAGTAAGAATTTATTCTCTCTCCTTGAGAGTCCTGTACTCTAGTCTACTTGTTGCCTCTAAGCTTTTGTTGACACTTAGAGTTTTTGCAGGTCTCTAAATGGGGGCTCCTGACCCTTTGTGTAGCCCTTTTCTTGCTAGCCTTTCTGGCTTGCTCAGAGTTAGTCCTGTTCTTGGATTCAAGAACTGAAATTGCTTTAACCGTATTCAGACAGTGCTTTGTTTCTCCTATATTTCTATAGGAGAGCAAGTTTTTTGTGGCATGTAGAACAGGAGAAATTGGCTGGTTGTGAAGGGCAAGACTTGTGAGCAGGTGAGATCCAGGGGAAGCTGGAGTTCCCTTTCCAAGAAGCAGAGAGTAAATGCACTCCAATAGCAGAGCAGAGATGGAGATACTTGCTGTCAGCAGACTGATCAGAAATCAGTTTTCTGAAAAAAGAAAGCTGATGCAAGTGGTGTTTTGGTGTGTAGTGTTTTTTTGGTACAACTTTTGCTTCTTTTGTGGCATGTATAACTGAAGCTGAAGAGTACAAGCGTGTTAAGTTTGTTTTTAAAAATTAGGTTAATTTAAAGTAGAAACAACTGAATGAGAGAGCTTAAACTTTTAATTCCAGTAATTGGTTTCACTCAAGGACTACTTCAAGATTCAGTGAAACTGAGAAGGCAGTTGCCTCTATTTCTGGACTTGTGATTATCAGAAACTTGATCCTTCTTGAATAAGGACTGAAACAAGTGACACAAAGCACAACCAGTTATAGTAATATTGCTGGGTAACTTGCTTGATAGCATCCGTATGCCGTTTGTGTTCATCATAGTCACATTGATACCTGAAACTTACAGAATTGCCAATATTAGACTTGATTTTGTCAAACTTATGTCTTGAAGTGTCTATGGAGTAGACCTAGAGATATGTTTGTGAATTGTCATGTCCTGCTGACATGCTTGATGCATTACAGAGGAGGAGAGAGTGAAATCATTGCTGAAACTTCTTCAGCTTTTATTGCTTTAAGATGTTTGCTGATGTGCAAAACCTCCTTAAGGGAGTCCTGGTCAGGACCTGGCCTTATATGTACCTTCCAGTGCTTTTATGAAGATGCTAATCTCAATTTCAGAGGAGCCCACACTGCGTCCCTAACATACAAGCGAATGCAGATCTGACAGATCCTTTGATCACATTGCAAGCTTTCGTGAACTGCGGTAAAACTCAAGTCCTTTCTCTTTTTAAGTGGCCTTGTGTGCAGCAGAGGTGACAAAACCCACCTGAAGGTGAAAAGTGCTGATTCGTGCTTTTGGCTTAATGTATTCCATGCTTATGGGGCAAGGTTTTCAAACTCTTGTACTGTTTGTTGGAAATGGCTCATGTAGTGCTATAGCTCAATTTATCTCTCGTAACAGTATAATTAGCTAGTTTTCTACTCACTGGAAATTCTAGGTTTTTAACTAAACTTACCTCTGAACCTAAGTGTTCTTGTGTGTGTTTTTTCTTAATAAGTTCCCATTCAAGAAAACTAAACTTTTTGAAGACAGCTACAATTTAAGTGAATGGTTCTGTATCTGGGATAATTCAAGAAAGTCTTTATAAGGAGAATCTGTTTCGGGAGTCCGATTTTGTTCCCCATGAAGTTCATACTATAGCAAGTAAGAGGTCAGGAAAATGGGGGCAAGGGAAGTCCAGCACTGATCTTAAGGTGCCTAAAATTAAAGGAAGTGCCTTTATAAAATCCAGACAACTTAAGAGCAATGGAGTTTCAGATATTATCTGTAACTAGTATACATCCTTACTGGCTAGTAAGCTGCTTAGCAGCTCTTGCTAACAGAGCAAAACTATCCTTTCAGTTATTTAGCAGCACATCAAAGCCTAAGGAACATGTGATTGTTCCTAAAGAGCCCATTCTGTTATCAGAATTTCATAGTTAAGACCAACTAGTTAGTCTGGGTATGTGGAAGCTCTCTCCCCCTTTTGAACAGTTTAAATGCAATCATTCTCATAATGTCAACATAGCATTTAGTGGCTCAGTTCCTTGCAATGATTTTGTTGTTCTGCTGTTTCTAGTTCAGGTGACTTTTTTGCTTCTGAAGATGTAACATAAATGAGTCTCTAGTCTGACTTTGTACTTCATCAGAAATGGCTACTGGCAAGTTGCTCCTTCCTGAGTGTCAGGTTTCTATGTTATGGTGCTTTGATTCTCCCTTGGCTGTTTGAATCTTCCAGACTGCCAAATAAACGTTCATTCTCAAAGACTGTCTGTTTTTTATTGGTCTATATTTGTAAAATCACTTGCTGTCAGACAGCAGCTTTGTTAGCTATCAGCTGTGCTGAAAGTTTTTCTGCACCTAAATTTTTTTACTTGATAGTTTACAAAGGACAGATTCTATAGAAAGCATCATATGACTTTACCTATAGGTATATTAACAGTTATTCTGCCTGTATCCTTCCATTGTCAAGAACAGCTCGAGGTTAATGCCTAGCTGCAAATTTTACTGCAGTCTTACTACCAAATATATCTAGTGTTTTCAACAACTTGACTTCAAGCTATGACACTCTCTTTTAAACCTTTATTTGGTTGATGGGCAAACTTTACTTTGTTTGTATAACTGAATTGTTCATTTAAAATCCTCACTAATGAAAGAGGAATTTGTTATCAAACTAATGTCATCAAACACCTGCAGAACCTCACTGCCTACTGCATATTCTGGCTTCCTCGAAGCATGAAGGAGGTTCTGTTGCCTCCCTGTTGGAGTTAAACTTGCTGTCGTGAATATGATAACTAATTGCAGAAAAGTTCCTGGTGGTTCAGACTGCTTAAAATTTGACTTATAGGGATACAGTCCAGTTCTTACTGTGTGCTTGTAGTCAAATCCTGTTAAACCATACTCTTCAGATAGAAGCAGTTAGTTTCTCACTTCTTGGGTATGGGCCCAACTCCTGACCCTTGCACCTGGCTCAGAAAAGCTCTAATCATATATATCTCCAGGATTTAAACTTCTATAACCTATATGAAAGCTAAGCATTCTAAGAAAGTGATGGCTTACGTGTTTCTCATAACACAAATTACACTCCATTTGGATCCATCCACACCCACTGCTCTGCATGCTTCTGTAAGCTTGAAAAAGAACTATAGAAAAGTGAACTGGTGAATTGTTTGTGTGCTGCAGCACACAAACACAGCCTTAAAAAAAAAAAACACGGACTATACCTTCTGAGTGCTTTTACTAGTAAAGTGCAGTAAGTAGCGTGGGTTTTTTTTAAAAACAAACAATGACTCACAACTCAGTATTTTGTCAGTATCCGCCATCATTGGAGTCTTGTCCTGTGAAGGGTGTGCAAACATGTATTTAAAAGGCTGCTATTATCACCTCTAAAAGGCTGCCTAGCATGGTAGAGCTAGTATTCTCTGTT